TTTTCTACTAAATGACGTCAAATTAAAATCGGTGGGGCTTTTCTTTCCGTAAAATTTTGCTGAATATTATCTTGCAAAGAAGGGTCAAATTCTAAAACATTAGTGCGGCAAACATAAATGGCTTTGGGTCTTTGGTTCGGCAAATTATTGTGGAGTTGTTTTTCAATTTTTTTTAAATCTTCTATTAATGAGGAAATTGTTTCTTCCCGAGGGTTTTCATAACTGGCTAACTGAATTACTTTTTTCACTAAGCCGGCTTCTACCACTTCGTTAGTTGGCACTTGGGTGAAAAAGTCGTGGTCTTTTCAACCGCTTTCTTTTTTTAGTTCATTAAATTGTTCGGCTAACTTTTGAGGAAATTTTATGGTAGCACTCGCCATTAAAAATACTTCTGGTTTCAATTCCAATAATAAATCAGTTTGTTGGTCGGATAAATTATGACCCTCATCATAAACAATAAAAATTGACCGCTGACCGCGATTTTTTAAACTTTCCCAAGTGCTTTGATTTTGTTCGTCTAATTTACACTGATAGATTTGGCGATTACCGGCTTCTTTGTCTTTTTGATTAAAAGTTCCCACCGTAGCAAAAAGGACTAATGGTTCATTTTCTAGTAAGCAATTTGCTTGAAATTCGGCTAACATAATCACTTGGCACTTACCTAATAAATGGTGATATTTACCACCCGTAGTTAAATTATTGAAACTTTGTTCGACTACCACACTGGCTTTGCTTAGTCAGAGAATTATCGGAGGTCGGGAGACCGATTTGCTGATTTCCCCAATAGTTTTGGCTAAAATTACCGTTTTTCCCGAGCCAGTTAAAGCGTCAAGAATTTGAATAAAAGGAACCGGAGTTTCCTCTTCTCCTTTTTTGATAATAATAGGCTGGCGGAGATAATTTTCGTATTTCTCAACTATCTTTAAAGCGGCTTTTTCTTGAAACTCAAATAATTTTAACATAATATTTTTTTAATTTTTTAAAGCCAGAACAAAATGGATTTTCCTTTCCACTTCCTCCAATAATTTTTCCTGTGCTTCGGTAATTTTATCCTTAAACTTATCGCGGTCAATAGTCTGAATTTGGTCGACTAATATCACGCTGTCCTTTTTGAGTTTAATAAAAACTTGAAAAGAAAACACCTTGTCACCTTCTTTTAAAGAAGTAATGGGGATAGTAGTTATTAAAGGGCTAGCGCTGTTTTGTCTGTCATTTGAAATAACTAAGCAAAGGTGGATTTCTTTTAATTCTCGTCCTTTACTATCTGGTAAATCAACTCAATAAATTTCACCTCTTTTAATTAACCTTTCTGCCATTTACTTCTTTGCTTTTTTCTCCTTATTTCTTTCGTAGTTTATTCAACTTTCTATTCCTGCTTTTTCTCACCGCTTAGCCTCTTTTATTATGCGAGGGTTAGCATAAACATTCGCGGTATTCCTGAACTAACTTATCCTCATTTTCATTTAGTTTTTCCTCTACCGTCTCTTTAACAAATTTACTAATTTTTCCCTTTCCAACTTCTTGCTGTAATTTCTGATAGAGACTAGTGGGGATAGTAATACTTAAAGTTTGTTTGGGTTCAATTGATTTCATAATATATAATTTTACATTGTTACGTATGTTTTAAAATCTATCGGAAAATTATTCTAATTTTAGGCAAAAATTCTTTATCGCGGTGGGAATAATAAGAAATAGAGTTTTTTAACCTACTTTTTAGAAAGCCTTATTAATTAAACTCATCCTTCTCTAAATCAAAACCAAAATCTAACAAAATACTATTAGGAATTTGGTAAAAATTCACGGTATCCACTTGGCATAAATATAGGCGAGCATAAACATGATAAGGAGTTTTTAAATTATGTTTTTGGGCTTCTTGAACTACTTCCTGATAAACTTCTTTGGTGAAATTAACATTTTTATTCGGTCCATCCCAAATCAGGAAAAATCCTTCCTGCTGGCTGTTTTTAGCAATTAGATAACGACAATTTTCATTTTTTAATAATTGTAAACCTTGATATTTTTGTTGATATTTATCAATTCGACTAGCGATAATAGTGTCAATTAATTCGGCTCGCTCCATTTGTAAAATGGCTTGAGTATTAATTTGCTTATCCAGGGCAGTAAATTTAAACCCTCCTCCTAGTGGCTCATGTTCTTTTTGGTCGGCTCATTTTCCGGTAATTGCCGCTTGTAATCTTTTTTGTAAAAGCGTGCGGCAATAGTCATCGCCATTTTTAATATTTCCTTGCTCGATTAAAATAAAACTTCTATTGGCTCCGGTTTCCTTATTTAGTTGTAAAACAGCATGGCCGGTGGTTCCACTACCGCCAAAGGGGTCAAAAACTAAGCCATTTGGCGGACACCATAACTGGATAATTTTTTGGAAAAGTTTAAGGGGTTTAGCAGTTTCAAACCCGTGTCCTCGGCCTACCGATTGGCTTATTTCGCTGCTAGCGGCCGCCGTGGTTCCAGATTGGGAAAGGTCTCAACTTACTACTCCTAACTCAATAGGATTTTCGTAATACTCTTTTCCCCAGTAAGTTATTGGGATATGTCCTTCTTTCATGTCGGATAAATATCTTTTTTGTTGCGGCTTGCCCTTGCCTCCATGAGAAAATATTATTTTAGGCCAAGGACCTTTTTCTAGAATCTCATAGGCTTTTTTGGACGACTTTTGAATTGCTGGGTCTTGGAGTGGATTTTCAAGATTAGTAATTGAGAAACCTTTAATCAATAATGCTGGTGATTTTCCGTCTTTAATATCTGTTTCCTCATACTCCGAACCCCATCCCTCTAAAAATCCTTTCATTCGTGATTTTGCAAACCGCCAATGGGATCCTGTTGGCGGTTTGCAAAATTGACCAGTAAAGGGATTTTGAATGCCATAAACCATGCTGTAAGTAGGGGTTTGGGAGCTTGAATCGCCGACAATTCAAGCTCCCCGTGGGTCTTTATCTGGATTTTTGAACTGTTTTAAATAGTTCTCCGTGCGAGGCATTAAATTAGTTTCTGTTTTTTCTAAATCCTTAGCATAAACCAAAATGTATTCGGTAGCCGGTGAAACATGAGTGTAAGTTTTCGGACCACCTAATTTTTGCCAGTTAATAATCGCAATTCGGTTCTTTTCCCCAAAAATTTCGTCCAGCATCATTCCTAGTCTAAATAATTCCCTTTCATCTATACAAAAAGCCAATACTCCATTAGATTTAAGCATTTGCCGCATCATTTGTATCCTTGGCAACATAAACTTCATTCATTTGGTATGGCGAGAAGGGTCATCGGCTTTCACATATTCTCCTAAATTAGGGTCATTAGGGTTCTCATCTCATTTGTCATTATACCGAAAATCTTTGCCGGTATTATAAGGAGGGTCAGCAATTATCAGGTCAATTTTGCCGTGATATTGGTATAAAGTAGCCATAGCGAGTAAATTATCACCTTCAATTACTAGATTTTTAGATTTTTGTTCTTCGCTACCCAGGCTTAATTCAGGGATTTCGCGTAAAGTGCGAGGTTTTACTTTGCGGGCTATTCTTTGGGCGTTGGCTTTGCCAGAGAAAAGGATTTTTATGCCTCCTTGGGTGAATTCTTCTAATTTTTGTTCCAGTTCGCGGATTTTAGTTTGGAGATTTTGGATTAGTTGGTCGTTTGTTTGCCGGCTAGTCATATTTTAATTTTTACAGTAAGAAAAAAAGTATTAGTGGGAAGTACAAGTAAGTAAAATTTATGGTATAAATATGCGTAAAGAAAGTAAAAATTGAACATTAATCGAAAAAAAAGAAATATTTGAATTCCCAGGTCATAGAATTTATTTGGATACAACATTCATGCGTGATCATATAATATGAGAAGGTTGTGATGACACTATTAGAAAAGGAGAAGAGTGGAAAGCCTTTCAAAAAAAGAGCGGGGTGATTAGGGATGAGTCAGATAATAGATACAAACTTAATGCTATTATAGAATTTTACTGCTCTAACTGTCAAATAACAGAAGGAGAAAAAGGCGGGGGTGGGGGCGATGATGTGATGCCACCACAAATACAGACTAAAAAGGCAAGCCTAATTGAAAATAATCCAGAAGAGAAGGAGGAAGGGGAAAAAGACGAATTTGAGGAAAGCAGCGAACAAGGTGGTATTGAAGAAATCAAACAACTCGGAGAAGGAACAATAGAAATAATAACTAAATTATTAGAGCAAAAAAAAGAAGAAAAAAGAAAATTACTAAAAGAAGATAAAAGCCAAGAAAATGATCAAAAAATTAAAAGACTAGAAGAGGAAATTAAAAAATTAGAGAAAGAGTTAGACGAAGTTAGAAAAAATTCTAAATTATCGTTAGGAACGCTCACAAGTTAGTATCTTATTTGGTTATTTAGAGAAAAATTTTAAAATATCTATTTTTTCCTTTCCTTATTAATTTTCTTTTCTCAAAACACACCAATGCGAAACCCCACTATCTAATCAAACATCCATAATATCTTGTTCTAAAATTGTTTCTTTATCTATCAAACCAGGAAATTTCTCCCGCAAAAGTGGTAATATACTGCCATCAAATCAACCATCAGAACCACGACTAGCAATTATTTCCGCAACATAACCAATAATTTCAGAATTAAGTATTGGTTCGTTATTTTTGTATAAAATAGGAAGTGGCACGCCTCATTTTCTTTGCCGGGAAATACATCAATCCTCCCGAGCACTAATTATTTGCCGCATTTTTTCTTCGGTTCAACTTGGATATCATTTTACTTCTTTAATATTTTCTAACAACTCTTTTTTTATTGCCTCTACTTTAATAAATCATTGTTTAGTTAGGCGATAAACCAGCGGACTTTTATCCCGTCAATCATGGGGATAACTATGGGTAATTATTTCTTTTTTTACTATTAAATTCCTTTTTTCTAAATCATCAATAATATAATTGTTAACTTCTGAATAATGCTTATTAATTACTTCTGGAACTCCAATTTTTTCATTAAACAAGCCATTAGGTTCTAGGGGACATTCAATAACCAATTTTTCCTTTTTTGCCAGACCAAAATCCTCCATTCCAAAAGCGGGTGCTAAATGAACTATTCCCGTGCCTTCCTCCTCCTCAATAAAATCACTACCATCTACAATATATCCTTGGGTATCTTTCCGATAAGGATGAAAATAATTTGATCTCAATAATTTTTCACCGGTCAATACTTTTTCTACTTTTAATTGTTTTCCACCTCATTTTTCTAAAAGCGGAATTTTACTTTCCAAAATTATTAAATTTTCATTATTATATTCAACCAAAGCATAAGAGGCTGTTTTTTTGACGGCTACTAAACGATTAGCCGGAATAGTTCAAGGCTGGGTGGTTCAGACTAGTAAATTAATATTTTTCAGACCTAAAAAATCAGGGTTTGCTACCAATTTAATTTTGAAGTATAGAGAAATATCTTTTTTTTCTAAATATTCTATTTCATTTTCCGCTAAGGCTGTTTCATGACTCCACGACCAATGAATAGGACGATAACCACGATAAACTAACCCTTTTTTCACCATTTCACCAAAAACTCGCAACTGTTCGGCTTCATAGTTTTTATCCAGGGTGATATAATACTTGTTATAGTCAGTAAACAATCCTAATTTTTTTAATTGTTCTCGTTGATTTTGGGCTTGTTCTAAGGCAAATTGATGGCAAAGTGGTCGCAAATCATTTTTTTTTTCCGGATAAACTTGCAGCATTTTGTGCTCGATAGGTAAACCGTGGGCGTCTCAACCAAGCAGAAAAGGAGTATAATAACCCGCGGAAGCCTGAGAACGGACAATAATATCTTTAATCAGAAAATTTAGCACATGCCCCAGGTGAATTTTACCATTCGCATAAGGAGGACCCGAATGAAGGACAAAGGACTGATTACTTTTATTTTTTTCTAATACTTGCTGATAAACTTGTTTTTCTTCCCACAATTCTCTGATTTTTTTTTCCGTTTCTAAATGATTAGTGTTTTTCAGCGGAAATTCAGTCTTGGGAAGTAGAAGAGTATCTTTAATTTTTTTTGAGTCCATTTTATTAAAATAATTTTAACTAAAAAATAAAAAAAGAATAATTTCTTATTGGAATTGCCATATATACAAATTGACTGAAGCTTCTACAATTCCCTAATAAAGTAATATTTTTCTCCAAGAAATATAGAGTCAGTTGAGTTGTTTTTTAACTAATCAACAAAAAGCGATTTCTATTTGGCACCATGACAACAAGAAAAACCATTCAAAAACCTTTAAAAGTAGAATGTTTTTATACTCCTCTTTTAGGTAGCAAATGTAGAAAAATCTTTGAAGTTAAGTATAACCGTTCTCGTGGCAAACATACCCAACGAAATAACTGAGGCTATTGAACTGAAAAAGAGGAAGACAAAAAAAGTATATTTGTTAATGAGTGTTTAATTTCTTTTTACAAAGAGAATAAATATACTTTTTGAGAAAAAATTACTAGTGAAAAAAAGAGAAACATACTCCGCACTTATGTCAATAGCAATAGCCTGAAACACAAAAGAAAAATATTGGAATGTGATGGAGAGGGATGTGAAACTGCTTGTTGTTATGGTTGTCGGTGCTGCAAAGAAAAAACCAAAATAATCAACGAGTTAGAAAAGCAACTAAAAGGATCAAAAAAACTTGGCAAAAATACTCCAAAGTTATAATTATAAAAATAATGAAGAAAATTTTCCTAATTCTGATGAACCTAATAATTCCCCATCCACTCCCATTAATCCTTCCTCCCAAACTGATAGCGATAAGCAGAAAGAAAGAACCTGCCGAACCTCCCCCGAGAGGAAAAGCCCTCATCATCAGGAAAACAGAATGCCAAAAGGGAGATAAAAAAAAGCCGACCATACTCTAATATATGTAGCGTCAGGAGCAATCGGAATAGTAGTAATTATTGCGGCAGTGTTTATTATAATCGTTAAGAAAAAAAGTAGTAAGTTGTTTAAAAAACGGTAAAACTGCAAAATAAATTGAAATTAAGCCTAAAACAATAATTATATATGCCTATTGAAAGAACTCTCTCCATCATCAAACCAGATGTTACCAAAAAAAACCAAATTGGTGAAATTATTAATGTTTTTGAAAAAAAAGGATTAAGAATAGTTGGAATGAAAATGATTTGCCTAACCCCTCAATTAGCCGAAATTTTTTACCAGGAACACAATACTAAACCATTTTTCAAAGGAATGACCGAGTTCATGTGTAGTTCGCCTGTCGTAGTAATTTGTTTGGAGGGAGAAAATGCCATCAAACTTAATCGCGAAATTATGGGAGCCACTGACCCCCAAGTAGCTAAAGTAGGAACTATTCGAAGAACTTATGGGGAAAGTATCGATAATGCTAATGCGGTGCATGGTTCAGATAGCCCCGA